AGATTAATTACTGAAAATAACAGATAAAATATAAAGTTTTTCTTAAGAAATGTTTGATAAGTATCCAGACATTATAAAGATATCTGATGTGAAATTTCAAAATTTTCTGATGCATAAAAGTATTTTTAATCTTAAAATGAAAATTGCTTTGCATGATAGATAGGCAAGATGTGAAAAAAAATGCATGCTTTACAAACCTTAAGACTTAAAAAAGAAATTAGATATCTTGTGTATGACAGCATTGTCATGTTTACTGATAATCTGCCAAATTTCATTAACATTCATATACTAATTTAAAAGTTGTAGCATGATAACTATAATAAGCACAAAATGGTTACGAGGTTGGTCCCAAGGACAGAGCCCGAGGTTGAAGAGTTAACATAACTAAATTTAACACTCCTATCAGACTTGATTTCAAACAGTTTTACATATCTAACAAGAAACCCCTCTTCATGAAAAATATTTACAGTATTTTCTTCTACTGTATACAAAAACTGTTAATGCATAAACTCTACTCATAGAGTCTGGACCAACATTTGCCACCCCCTTGATGGCTTCATTGTGGAACCAGTAGTTCTGGAGATACAATGCACACCTCACGATTCTTGCACTGTCAGTTTTGTACTTATAAATGTATGCAAGGGACTGATGGTTCATCTGGATGATGAAATCCTTCCCATAGAAATGGTTCTGGAATTTCCAGAGGGCAGATATGATGGTCAGACAATCCTGTTCAATCACTGAGTACTTCTTCTTACTACTCAACAGCTTTTTACCATTGTTATGCTCTTGCTGAAGAACTGCTCCAATTCCAACACCTGATGCATCTGCCTGAACAATGAATGGTTTATTAAAGTCTGGCATTCTAAGGATAGGTGTTCTTCAACTTCTGGAATGCGTGTCCTGTAGTTGTTCAGTGGTACAGCAACTTCAGCATAGTTTGGGAAAAAGTTCCTATTAGTTCCCACTAACCCCAAGAGAGATCTGACTTGCTGCTTGATTGTTGGAGTTGGTGCATCTTATATGCGAGTTAGCTTCTCTGTTATGGCTATTTGTCAGTCGCTCACTTTCTGTCCAATAAAGTCCAGAACAGAATAGCCGATGTAGCACACTGATGATCTGATTGTCAGACCTGCTGCTCTCACTCTGAGTTTCTTAACTGTGTGGTTCAGAATCTAAGGATTGGTGTTCTTCAACTTCTGGAATGCGTGTCCTGTAGTTGTTCCCACTTCACCTTGTT